TAAAATAAAGGTAATTTATGTTCTTTTTGCAATATTTTGATAAAATAATATATGTAGTACAATATTTAAACATTTAAAATTTAGTCTTTAAGTTATTTTAAGTTTAATATGTAAAATAAAAGAACTTTTTTTTGTGTCATTCCGTCACATGTTTTAGTGTTCTTTTTGAATTAGCAACTACATTTAAGAATGAAAATGTATATATTTTAGGATTTAAAGCAGATGTGGCATAAGAATCAATAAAAAATTATAACATTTTCTGCATGAGATTATTAACTCCCAATATTTAGTGTGACGGAATGACAACATTCTGTGTGACGGAATGACAAAAAACTTCCTTGAAAAGCTCCTTCAAAAATTAAAGATTTATTTCTTTTCAGGTAACCTGATGGCTAAAACGGCTGCTGAACGGCAAAAAGAATGTAGAAGAAGAGAAAAAGAGCAAGGTCTTCATGATATGATGAGAAAAAAAGACAGAGAAAGAAAGGCAAAAAAGAAAGCTTCCATGACAAAGCTCAACTTAAAAAATATAGATGTTTAAACGCTGCTGATCAGAGATTATGTAGACAAAGAAAAAGTAAAATTCTAACAAAATCTTTACATACCGATTTGAATTTCCCATATAAATCCAGGCAGAGTCTTGGTAAAGCTGTAAAAAAAGTTATACACTCACTTCCAGAATCTCCAAGAAAAGCAAAAAAGGTGATTCAGTCTTTATGTGATAAGTATTCAACATCAAACTCAAAAGAAACTGTTTTAAGTGAGAAAAGTAATGCCATTAATCTGTCTATTCTGGTAGAAAATTTTTATTGTCAGGATGATGTTAGTTACATGTCACCAGGTATGAAGGATTCGGTCATAATCCGCACTCCAACAGAAAAACGAAGAGTGCAAAAGCGTTATATGCTAATGACACTGAAAGAGGCTTTTCATTTATTTAAAGAAGCCCATAATGATGTAAAATGCGGCTTATCTCTTTTTTGTTCTTTACGACCAATCCATGTAAAGAGCATTTCCGAAATACCTCATAACACGTGCACCTGTAAATATCACGAAAATGTGAGGTTGTTATTGAAGGCTCTGTCAAAACATGCTCATCCTCAATCTTCTGTCCCAACAGAGTTCAGATTGTTCCTCAGTGAGATAGTGTGTGATCAAAATTCTGAAGCTTGTATGTTAAATAATTGTGAGTCTTGTAATGAGTCTTTTCAAAGGTTTACAGCAACTTTTGATGAAATTATGACAGACTTGATTTCCTATGAACAATGGGAAGCAGATGAAAATAAACTTTCAATGCTGAAAACAATTGAAGGAACTGTACAAGAATGCTTGGAATTGCTGAAAAATATGCTTCCTTTTTTCAAGAAGCATACCTTCATTAAAAGGAAACAGAGTGAAGTGTTCAAGTTGTCTAAAGAAAATAAGGATGCCTCTGTTATCACTATTCAGGTGGATTTTGCTGAAAATTTTACCATCATGAAGCAGAATGAGATACAATCAGCTCATTAGAGCCATCAACAAACAACAATATTCACAGCCTGCTGCTGGGTAGGTGGGGAAGTAAAATCTTTTGCTGTTTTATCAGATGAGATGGCTCATGACAAATATTTAGTAGAGTGTTGCTTGCGGTTGTTGCTCAATGAAATAACTCTCCTCTACTCGCAAGTCAAAAGAGTGAGCTTTTTTTCCGATGGTCCATCTAGCCAATTTAAACAGAAACACACGTTTACAGCATTAACTTTTTTAAAAGAGGAATTTTCATTAGAAGAATTAGCATGGAATTTCTTTGCTACGGGGCATGGCAAAGGTGTTGTAGATGGCATAGGGGGGCAGTTAAAAAGCCAAGCAAGACGTTTGCTGCTGGCTGGAACAGCACCAAATATCCATAACGCAAAAGAGTTATATGACTTCATAAAATCGAAGCAACAAATTGTTGAAGTATTGTTTTTGTCTAGGCAGTCTGTTAAAGAGAGGGCAAAAGAAAATGCTTATAACTGGTCACTCGTTACAACAGCAATACCAAAGACAAGAGATGTGCACTACCTTAATGTAATTGAGAAGTATGTCATAAAAATTAGAATGTTTACTAATTCTAACCAAAGCCAAGTATATGATCTAAAAGATGGCCAATTTATTGAAGAGGAATTAGATGACATAACTCAGGAGTACTTGTCGGCTCCTTTATCATTGCCTTATACTGCGGGAAAAAAAGGAACATTTATATGTGGCACAAATCATTTCGATAGACAAAGACGATTCAGATGTTGAAATACTAAATCTAAGGAGATGGGATAAGAATGGCTTTATTTATACATTTCCTGAGAAAGAAGATAGATGTGTCATTGACAAGTCAGATATAAAACCTCGTAAGAAACAACCTAATTTTCAAATTGTTGAAAAACGTACCCGCTATGTATTTGAAGAGTCTGTAAATTGTGAATGAATGGTTTTTATTTATTCTGTTTATCAGTTACTTACATACTAATCCTGTTTATCAATTACATTTCGTTCACTATTTACATATTAATAAAAAATATTTGAGATGCAGACACTTTTCTGCATTAAACATAATTTTAAACCTTTTGTCATTCCGTCACGGTCATTCCGTCACAGCAAATAAATGATAATAACTGCAAGCCAACTTGAGCTAAATTTTTCAAATTCATATTTTACAATGCTTACACAATATACTAAAAATAAAAAATAGTTTTGAAAAATAATAGCTCCAAAATTCACAGAAACTACCAGCTCTAAGCAGCATGCCAAAAGCTTGGTTGCCAAAATGTCATTCCGTCACACAAACAAAAAATTCATAAAATTAAGAGAAAAAAATAAAGAAAAATTTTTTTGGTAGTGTTTCAATCACATAATGCCAATAATAATGATTTGCATGAGAAAAAAATATGTTTATTTCAAATTAGATGCATGGAAACTTCAATTGACTATCATTTTGCAAGTCAAAATGTCATTCCGTCACATATGGAATTGCCCAGATATTAAAAAAAAAGTCCTAAACAGGATACTCACAACTCTAAAAATTTAATTTAATCACTAAAACTTTATTACTATAATTTTTCATATAAAAATTACGTTAATTAATATTTAACTATTTTGTTTATATTAACTGATTAAATTTAGATTCAGATTTTAATTACTTTATTACATAGAAATCTGTTTTCTTTCTTTCCTTTTTTCCCCACATTTTTACTTAACCCAGAATTCTAAACTATACTTCATAAAAAATGTCTCAGTGCTCCTCAGAGAGAAGAAAATGAAAAATTGTTTAAAAAAATTATTAAATTTCAAAGTTTAAAATAAATAAAAAATTTGAAAAAAAAGCTATTAAAATTTTGAAATAATATAATTAATAACGCTCTCGTTGTGTAATAAAGAAATCTAATAACGATTGCTTATCAGCGTTAACAGGAATCATTTATAGTATAAAAAGGGATTTAGTTGATTAATTGACAAAATTAACGGCAGAAGGCAACTGAAGGCACGGCAAAAAGAACACAAACTAAAGGGTGAACTGATTTTGCATCATTATGTCAATTTTATCAGTCACTTTAACAAATGCAATATAAAACTGCGAAATAAAACTAAATGTTACGAGTTAAATATCCAATTTAAAAAGTACTCCTCGGTTGAAAAAGTTAGATAATCTCTGATTTAAATAATGTAGTGACTGTAATCTAGCTTTCATAGGTATTTAACCAAATAGTAATTGGCTTCAGGCAACCACACACCTCTGCACGCCGCTACTGTGACTAGTGATTTAAATTCAAAAAAGGGAATGATAAGATAGCATACCCCGAAAAATTTTAACAAAAATTACTTCTGAAATATAGTTAAGTGCATATTTTAGAACCGAAAGAAATTTTATTGAGATTTTGTAATTGAATGATGGAAAATGGAGGGATAAGATGACAAATTTTAAAGTCATGATTTCAAATTAAATGCTAGTATTAATATTTATTATGATTAATCTTCTTAAAAAGAAATAATCTAAATCATAAAACTGTATAGTTACCAAAGTGGTAACTATCTGTTAGAAATTCTTAAAATACTGCATTTTGTGACCTACGATATTTTATTGTTGATTATCATTATCGTGAATAATTTTGAGAATTCTAATCCCACATACCTCTCTCAACCGGGCAGGAGTGTCGTCGCAGCTCCGGATTAACAGGTTCATAATATTCCACGGTTAAGATTGGGAAAGCCACTGGATCTCCGAGATGCAAGCACCCACACGAGTCAGCTCTCACTTTAAAGTAGAGTTCTACCTGTAAAATTGAGGGAAACGGAAAGATAATTAAAATTAAGGTAACAGATATTTATTACTTATCATTCTAGCGAAATTAAATTTATCTATTATTGTTCTTGTGAATTACTTATAAGTAATGCTTGGTGTTTTCTTGCTTCATCCATCTCCCATGCTATTTTGTGGAGTATTGTATGAACACCAATATCTTAAACCCACTAGTTGACTTTTTGGAGTATTTTTTATTCATTTTATTCACAAAAATGTATTTAATCGCGACTATCAATCAAAGATAATAATTTAAGGTTTCAAGTAATATTTTTTAAAACATTTGCATACTTTTTTTCGAGGCACTATTACGCATTTTGTAAACAAAAATTATTGGAAAGAAATATAATGAAATTTTGTAACTGAAAATTTTGTAACTGAGAAACACATTTCAAGGAGTAAAAAAAAATAGAAAAAATATTACATATTGAAATATTAACTAAACATGGAATTTTCGTTCATTCATATCTCTCATTTAATATTGGTGTTTATACCATTAATATTAAATTCGGGAGAAACATAAATATAAATTCTAGGACAAGTCTAAAATTATGAGAGCTCCTTAAAATAATTATTGTTATTATTTAAATATTTTTTTAAATGCATTTCGAACATTAAGCAAAAGTTTAAACTTAAATTGATGCGCACTCTTTCCTAAAATGGATTAGTAAAAAATAATATNAAAGAAAAACCAAAGCCTATTCATAGTATGACAGATGTACACTTTTTTGAATTGCAGTCTGAAATGGAACAACCTATTCAAGAATATGAAGAGGAAAGACAACGTTATATACAAGTATGTTTTTAGTGCTAATTAAAGCGAGATATTTATTGTGCAAGTAAATTTAAATGGTGTATGGATTGTTGGTTAGATATCAATACAAAATATGATTTTGTGCCATAAAAAATAAAAAATTGATTTTCATTATTGCAGATTTAACAGACTAAAAATAAATATACATTAATTGTATTTTGTCATTCAATTGGAAAAAAAAATTATGTTCCGGTAAAATATGTAGGACAGAAACAGTTGAAAATTTTTTCATTTCATGTCAATTATAACATTGTATAATAATAGTAATGAAATAATGAGTACTTTTACACAGTATTCAAATTATACAAAATCTTTTTCTTTAGGTATTGGTATGTAGTTTTTGTTTTTAATTAAGTGTAAGTGTTTCTTTCATCAAATTAATGAAGAATTTTTAGTTTTTATCCATTTTGAAGGGAGTGTCAAAAACATATTCTCATGCAATGGATTACCACAAAAGTGGTACCTATTACCACAATTAGTTCAGCATCACTGGTGTCAATATTAATGAGGCTGTTTTCTTAAGGACTCCCAAAAAATTGACAAATATTGAATTTTTTTATAGTAATTGATAGTTTCTCATTGAGCAGTACATTAATGTGTAAATCAGCTCTAATTAAAAACTGGAGTTCTAGCCAAAGATTTCATCTCTATATATGAAAAACAAAACAAAAACATTAAAGCTGTTATGATTAAAAGCATTGTAAGCATATTGTAGAAGTTAAAAAAGAATAAAGTAATTATTGCATGATTACATTACATCTCATAAAAAATTATTAATGGAAAAGTTAAAATTAAAGATATATTCAGTTATGAAATCTAATATTATGAAGTGTAGTATGTGCTTTCTAAATTTAAGCTTATCTATTTTATTTCAAAGTAATTGCACCATTTTATTACAGCATTGTAAGAATAATACTGAAACAAATGAGCTTCATATTTTTTTTATAATTTCAGAGCATATTTGAAAATAAAAAATCAGAGTTTGAAAATCATATCTTAGATGTAGAAAAGCAAATCAGACAAGAATATAATTTAGCAAAGAGAAAGAATGAGCTTGATGCTCGCAGAAGAACTGGTGAATTACAGAAATTGGAAGAATCCATGTAAGTTCCATTCTATTTTTTTTTTAAATTTATTCTTTGAGTTCTGTTATAAAACAAGTGTGTAATACAGTATTTTCTAATTTCAGTGAGAAAGAATGGATTAAATTGTGAAAAAAAAAAATTGGTTGATATCAAATTTTTTTTTTTTGTAAACAAAATTTAAATTTTTTCAGTTTCCTATTATTTTATTAATGCTATTATAATTTTGAGTAACAATAATGAATGGGGAAAAAATAGACATTTAATTTTCAGAACTTTAATTTAAAGAGCAGTGACTTTTTTTTTCCTGCAATGAATCTTATTTATCATTGATCTTATTTAGACAAAATCGAAATTTTATGAGCAGTTGTAAAAATATTTATTAAGGAAAAATTATTTATTTTAAAAATATTTATTTTGAAGAATGGAAATGTTTCATTTGGTCATCTTTTTGCATATTTCTTGTAAGACCCACACTCATGGATAGAAAATAAATATTTTATTATGTTGTCTGCAATCTTTTCATTCTAATGTGTGTATGGGTATTTCTCACTGAGACTTTTAAATAGGTAATATATATATATATATATATTGAATTCATAATTATTTTCCTTTTCAGTAGATTAAATTAATTTTTAACAACGCGTGAATTATAAATGAAGTCTTCGTGTACGATCGATTTATTCTTAAATACCAATTGTAAATGTTGATAACTAGATATATATGTTAGAGACATGAAAATAAATGACTTGATTAATATACGCTTCGACAAGTATTTATTACATGTGTTTGAAATCTTTTAATTCATTATAGATTTGGTTACTATAAGGATTATTTCGTTTTCTCTTTTTTCCACTCGTANCAAAAAAAAATCGAGTTAAAGGGAGTAAAATTCGAGTAATCGAGAATAATTAACATGAAATTGAAGATAAAAGGGTCGGGACCTCATAAAAAAATCGAGTTATAATAATATTCGAGTTATCGTACTTCGAGTTATAGCGAATTGACTGTGTATATATATATTTAAAAATTTCTGTATTCTTCAAATGATTTTTTTTTTTAACTTTAAAAAGCTTTTATGTTCTGTGTGTGAAAAGTATTCATAAAAAACATCATCAAAAAAGTTTTTTTTTTATTAGTGATTAAAAAATTTAGCAGGAATTATTATTATTATAATTTTTTTTTTTGAGATATTAAAACATTTGTTAAATGGAGCTTTTAATTTTTGAAATTTGCCTGTATATTATTTTAATCACTCACTAAACATAATATTAGATACAGAATTTAGAATTGGTAGCCATTAATATGTTATTAGCTACCAATTACATATTATTAGTTTATCAAATATTTATAGAAAAATATTATACTTTTCCTTGCAGCTTAAAGCTTACATACTAGTTTTTTTTTAATTTCCTTTTTAATTTATTGCATTTGTCATTTATTTATTTATTTTGAAGGATGAGAGAAGCTCATGAGGTTGGAAGATTACAAAAAGAACAACATCAAAGCCATGTTAAGGTAAAAATATGTACCATGAATATGTTTATTGTTATGTTAATTATTTTCTAAAATTTTTGTTCCAAGATGTGAAATTAAAATTTATTTATTAATATTTTTTCAATGATGTCTACAAATTTTAGAAATTTTTTTTTTTGTGTGCGGTAATTAATCTTGAGTGATTATGGATTAAAATTTTGTGCGTGATCAAGTTTGGCTCATGGTTATATTTCTAATAACTCACTTCATTAATGCAATAATTCTGCCTAAAACATTTCTATGATTTTTTTTTCAATCTATCTCAATTTACCCAAAAATTATTAAATACTTGAAACTCACTGTAGATATGGTTTATCAGTAATATCACCATTGTTAACTTATTGTCCCAAATGAATATATTTAAAATCAGAATTAAATTTTACCTTTCGAAAGTCAAGTGAGATTAATCTTTAATTGTTTCTTTTGAGTCAATTATATCACTAATGTTTCACTAATTCGTATAAATTACCTCCAAATGAATGCATTTAAAGTAATAATTACATTTCACCTTTTACAAGTCAAGTGGGGGTTAATATTTAATTGTTCTTTTTTAATAAATGGTTATCTCTATTTTTTGGAAACAGAATGTCATGAAATTGTGAATAATTACATCGGCAAAAAGATTATGTCAGGAAAATTATTATATTATTATTGTCAATCATGCTATCATGTTGGATAAGGGATGATTTAAAATGTTGAGAGGAAATTTATTTCATAAATTCTGTTTTTCTATGAAAATGTAATTGATCATATCACAAAAGGATTATCTGAACAAAATTATTGTATCAAGGAAAATATTGGCTAAATGATCACATTGCAAAAGGTTCACTTGTTATTTGATGTGTTTTTTCCTGCAATATGAAGAGGAATCTTATGAGTTCTATTTTTTATTTCTTCTCATTTATAAACGAAAAAAGAAAAACTTTTTTTTTCTAACATATATAGTTCACATAAACAATAAGCAGTGTCATTTAAGTTAGAATGAATCCATTTCATTCAGTGCTTTAAGTCATTTATTGTTAATTTCATTGTTTTTAGAAATTAAGTGCCAAAATACTTGAAGCTGAGTTGAAACAGAAGCAAGCTGAAGAAGATTTAAAACGGAGGTAATTATTTTACCGTCTCTTAGAATGAAGTTAAAGAATAAGTACTGATTTTGATAAATTATTTCATAAGTTTTTATTTAATGTATGTGCAAACAATACACAACTTATTACACTTGCAAGAAAAATACCGATTCAAAACAACTCAATCACATTAGCAACGTTTTTTACTGAATGAAGAACAGACAGGACTGTGAAGTTGAATATAATGATAATTATAAAATAAAATACATTTAACATTTTTGTCATGTTTTGTGAAGTTGTCCGTTATTGCACTGAAACATGAGCACTATTTTAATTCAATTATTTGACTCTTGAGTCATTTGTATGCTATTAAACTTTTTCTGTACTTCCTCATATTGTTATATGGGATAATACATTTTTGTGTAATAAGTTATAGTTTTTAAACTTTTGTATTTATTATTTAGCTGTTTTCATTTAAGAAAATTCAAGATTTATATTTTAAAAAAGTTTGTTCAACTGATCGCTCATTTTATTATGTTGAGAGGTAATTTAAATTATATCACCTAATTTAATCTCTTATTTTATTCAATAATAAAAAGGCATAGTTCATTGAAAATTAGAAAATGATTATGAAAAATGCACATCATAGACTCCCTTTTTCAAAAAAATTGTATTCTTTTATCTATTGGTATTATTTTACAAATTTTTATACAACAAGTATAAGTTATGCAAAATTTTTAAGCTAGTTTTACCATATTTCATTTAAGCAATATGAATGCACAGTTTTCCTTTTCTTTTATATTGGAAGGCAATGCCACAAAAAGAGAGTTAAAATTTGTGTCATAACTTTTGTTTACTTGGATTAATTTCTATTTGCTCCTGAAATTGTGTTTCTATTTTTAATATCAGGATTGCAAACAAAGATTTAGATCAAACAGCAAAATGATTGCAAACAAAGTTCGATATAACAAATCAAACTTTTCATAATATTGAAAATTTGAGACAACTATAATTATATTGTTTTTATCAATTTAGGTAAAATAATAACTGCTTTGATATTGTATCAAAACTTGTTACTTTCTGTAGAGCTGGTGGCTCTGTGGTAAAGCATTGGACTACAAAGCCAAAGGTTGGGTGTTCGAACCACATCCAGGGCAAGTTGCCTAAAACGGATTTTTGTTGAAGAATACATTATAATTCTTTTTCATTCTTTTATTAATATTTATGTTGTTAATGATTCAATTTCTAGAATTTTCAGATTCAGAACTGATCTGTTTGAGATAGTTCCATAATTGTATATAAGTACATGTAACAGTCAGTTCAGTAGAATATTCATTTTTTAGAATTTTAAGATTCAGGTATGTTCTGATCGAGAAAGTTTGTATGTAAGCACATGTAACATTCAGTTCAGTAGAATAAAGCCTCAAGTTGAGATTATCAGTCTCTGTGCTCTTTCACACTGAGTAATCCCACACTTATCTAATCTAACCGGCAATATTTTAGTTACGCAACATGAATTTAGATCCTATATGGAAAAAAAATGCTCTAAATTCATTCAGCAGTAATCACATACATTTATGTATATTAGGTTTGCATTTTCCTAATGCATTAAGTTTAAATGCTTCATTAAAGTGCAAAATTTTCATGATAAACATAGTTAATTTTGCCATAATTTGTTTGCTCTGATATTTTGAAGAAGAAATTTTCGCAATTGAAACTTCATAGTTTACTCTTGGTTTGTCCTGAACTCATTTTTTTCTGTACTTTTAGTTTCGAAAATGTCAAATGACAAAAAACTTATTTCAGAATTTTTTTCCCTCTCCATGGCACAGCTAATTCTGCTATAATTTGCTTGCTGTTTCATATTTTTTGGAATTAATTTCAGCATTTTTAACTTTATAGTTTACTCTGGCTTATCTAAACTAAAATATTTCTTTATGTGCCGCTAGGTATCTATGTGCTTCCTAGCTTACTGTTTTATATTCATTTATTTGTATTAGGACTCATCTTGCTGCATTTATTAGCTCTGTTAAAATGCAAATTTTATTACAAATCAATAGCTTAACAGATGATTTTAAGCAACATTTTTAAGAAATTAAGATTTTTTAGAGAAATATCTAATTTAATCTGATTTAATTTTATGTCGATTTATTTTACCATGTATCAAATTTTGGACATATCAAGTGGATAACAGTGCTAAGTGATGGTGTTTGAGTAGAGGAATTTTTCAATTATATTTGGCAACAAATAGTCGACCAGTAACCTTAGAAAATCTGTCTTTAGAATAAACCAAAACACATAATGTGTGAACACTATTATAAGAAGTATGAAGTAAATGATAGGGATTGATAGATTTTGCCAATTTTAAGCATGTAGACTAGAAATAAAGGCAAGGCATGAACTTTATTAAGGGATTATCAATGTATAAGTTTGAAATTCACTAAAATGTCACTTAGAACCTTTATCTTTTGAACTTCTCAATTCTATTTTAATATCTCATGTTTGCATGATGTGATGTTTGTTAGTTATATAAATGGTTATATTTTAGTGAATATAGTTCGATAGTTATATTTTTATGAAAACAAAAGTTTATCTTTTAGTACAATATTCTTTTAAAATTATTTTTAAATTTGTTAACTATTTCTAGAAAAATAATGTTACATATATAATATTCACAGATTGAAAGAGCAAGAAGAATTTAAAGCTCAGTTAAACACCTGTCTTTCAGAAGCTAAATCTTTTGTTAACAAATCTGTAGAAAAATTGACTTTGTGTGAATACCAGGAACATTTAACTGTTCCTCTGAATGAGCGTATAAAACAACCAACTGCTTTGTTGCAATACATAAATGATATAGATAGGCAATCCAAAGATAAAGAGCTAACTATTGATGATATTTTAAATGCAAATTTTCAAGTGCAAAGAGCTTATGTGTTGCTTCAAGAAATATCTTCAGACATAGGTATGCATTGTTTCTATTATTTATTTGCTGATTAAAGTTTTAGTTATAAATGTGTAACAATATTTTACAGATTCTGCTAAAGTAAAGGCTTCCCATCACAAAGAAGTTTTAACAAATAGTATATCCTCTCTAGAAAACAATAATTTAAAGAATGAGGTGGAACAAAGTATGTATACAAAATATTTTTTCTTGTTGCTTTAAAATAGGGGTGCACAATCTTTTCGAGTAAAGGGTGGATAGGCCAACCAAGAGTCGCATACATGCACATTTGACGGCAAACTTAATAATTTTTCTATAAACATTGATCTTCTAATAACTGTAACATTGATGTATTAATGGTTAAATACTTTTAAACTTCAAAATACATAAAAAAATGAGAAACATACTTTTTTAAAGTATCTCTTTTAATCGAAAAACAGATTTATCAAAATATAAATGTTGGGGGAAAATTATAATTTTTTTCATCACATTACGTAATTTCAAAGTTCATTTTAAAATAAGTTTTAACAGTAAAAAACTGGAATGCTCACTGAATAAAAGTTTTAAAAAATAATAAATATTTTTATGAGTAATATAAAATCAAATTAATATTTTGATAAAAGAAAGTTTATAGGGCTTATAATGATTTATATTTAAACAAAATCATTAAATTGCGAAATAAAATTCAATATTTAGTTGGGAACATGCTTCAACTTAAGATATTTATGTTTTGTGAATTATTAAAGGTTTTATGTTCAATAGCAAATGTTGTTTTTTCTTTTAAAAAAAAAGCACTTTTTTATTTAGAAAAAATTGAAAACAAAATTACAAATAGTGAAGCAGTTAAAACTTCGTGTGTACTTATAAATTAAAGTATCAGAATTTTAAAAATCATATTGAAGCGACTCAATGCTGAAAAAAGGATTAAAAAAGAAATCGGATTGTCGATAAAATTGGCAGAAATAAATTGCGTCAAATATTGATTATTCAAATGCGCAATTAGAATCTTGTGCGTCATAATATTGTAGTTAAAATATCACAATTATTAATACGATTTTTAATCACGTAATATTATTGTACTTAAAATATCTTATTTTTTATTACGTAGTGTAATTAATACTACAATAATACAAATCCTATTCACTAGTATATAAAATGTGTTTACTCAATTCTATCTTGGGTTTCCTTTTGATAGACGAAGGTTGGCATCGTTGGCACACTAGCCCCCACATTGGTGACCTCCAGACGTGATCTGAATATGCCTATCTTGACAGTAGTGCTAACGCCTCCTATAACTGAAAGCCTCCACACGATTTTTTATATGTAGTCCGATCAAACCACCATGAATGTAATTCAGTTTTCAAAAGAGCTGTTTATACAAAATCTAGTAAAATTAAGAAAGTGGTAGCAAATATATCTCTAAAAATTTGTATAATTTATGAATAGGATTGGTTTGTCTCATTTACTTATCAACCACCACAAATTCAATTCTCAAATAGATGTGATAAACTTCACCCAATTATTTTTAAAAAAGAATTTGAGTTCATGCTCACAACTGGTTCACATTTTTAAATAGTCTGTGCAGACTACTTATAAGATACCGCATGGAGGCTTTCTGATGTAGGAGAAGATGGTAGTGCCCACTTCAATTTGAACACTCCTACTTTGATGGAGGGTACACAGCTGACTTGTTACATTTCCCACATCCAATATTCATTTCTTTAAATTAAATGTTTATTTTGGGCCAAATTTAATTGGTAAATTGTATGAAAGATTTTAAATGATGCTATTTCTTTTAAGATCTACTAGTTCTATTTCACTCAATATCTACTATTAAGATCTACTAGTGAACGTGAATAATTTTTCTTAGTCATCCTTTTTTAAGATCAACATTTAAAATTAAAGGTATATTTTTGTTGCAAATTTGGTTGAGTTCCCAAATGTAATTTCATATTTTAACTTACCAAACAGACAGATAATTTAAATACAATTTGTGCATGCATCATCACGTTATGCATAAAACTGATTGCTAAGTTCTAAAACATTTAATGACTCTGTTTGACAGTGATTATGTTAGCATATTAATGTAATTTATGCCACTAAACAATAATTGTTGAACGGTTAATAAGTTTAGACACCGATTCAAATAAAATTATCTTAAAATGTATTGTAATAAGGTAATGTATGAAATCACGTTATAATAAAGAAACAGCTCTTTTAGTTTTTAATTTAGAAAAGGATGACAAATGTAACATTAGCAGAGTACAATAAGAAAAATAAATATTGCAAATTGCTTTAGATTTAGGATACAAAAATATTTTATGGGAAAACAATATCTTTATAACTTTTTTAATTTTTTGCTGATTACAACTAAAAACAATATGAATATTATTGTGACAAAACTGAATCTTACCTATTTTGAACTCGCTTCATTTGGGTTTTGTGTTCTGGCTTCTTTCTCTTCAAACAATGGATCTACCTTTACAGGGTGCATTTACCAGAGGAATGATGATTTTTGCTGCATACAGAAGCAAGCTAAAATAGTTTTTCTCTCCGCTGTCCACACCCACTTGCCCTGAGTCTAACTCTTTCTCTTCGTTAAAAATATAATAAACCTATATCGGTAGTTTCCATCAAATGTAAATATAGTTTAAAAGTGTAAAATAGTTTAAAGTAAGTCAGATTAATTGTTTAGTTGTAAATATAAAAGAAAGTTGTATCGGAATATAAAAATGTATCGATAACAACTGAAAACTGGGACATTGTCATTTGATTTTCATCTGCAGTTGAATATGGTATGTGTCAGATTCTGTCTGTTTTGTCTTGCCTTATTTATTCTTAACGTGAAAATTCAATTTGATAAATTTATTTGCTGATATGCCAACTTTGCTCCGCTTTGTGCCTAATTTTTTTTTAATGGTAACATAGTTTAAGTTTTAATGTATGGTTCATGGATAAGGAAATTTAAATTGAAGTTATTTTTCTTACCACTACGCATATATAATTCCTAAAATCATATGAAACTTTACTTTCTTCCAGCATTTTAAATGTTAATAAGATCAACCAAAATTCTGCAAATTTTGGTTTTTAGTTTTGTACCCCTTTGAATATATTTTGCAGAGAACAGAGCAGATGGCATTCCTGTAATTGGAAACTTTTTGAAGTAACTCTGCTGGGTGAAATAATAATTTACAGAAGTATTTATTTGTTTAGGTTTAGATTCAAACACCAATACGAATCAGGATATTGAAATTGAAATTAGCAGTGAAGCTTCATCTGTTAGGAATAAAGATCCTAATAAAGGTAAAACCTGTAATTTATTATTTTTATTTCAGAGATTATTATTTCGCTATGATTGATAATAAAAATACGAATGTTGTTACCAAATCAAAGTTAGTGATAAATTATCTTTATGTTTTCTTTGTTTCATATCAGTTCAATCTTTGTAGTAGTTCAATCTTTTAAATGAAAGAAAAAGTAACTGTATAAAATATTTTTATGTGATTTATAACTTCTAGTCATATTTGTGCCAGCAAATTTCAAAGTATTATTATTTTTTTTTTCAATAACGTCTTTAACTTTTGCAATTTCAGTCTTTGTTTTTTTATGTAGGTGTCAATCAGTTATTTCACATTTTTGAGATTGTATGGAATGTGTATGTGACATATTATAACTTTCAAATATGATTTTTAGAGTATTTTTCCATTTATAAGCAAAAATAACCGAGTTTTTATTTAAAAATCAAAACTTTAAATATTTTTTTTCTTCAAAAAAAGAGAGAAAGAAATCTAGTTATGTAATAAGTTTTACTCCTGCATTTTGTTGCATATTGGTTGTACTGAAACAGTTATTGATGATCCAAGTTTTATGATAAAACAAACTTTACTGATAAAAAGTGAAAAATCTAGAAATTAAGTGAAAGTTTAATTTACATTTCTGAAGAGGAAAACTTTCCACCTGATTCCATAAGGCTGACAACTAGTTCAACTCACTCCATTTTGAAAACCTCATAATTTTTTTTAACAACTGAAAAAAAAAACCTCTTCACACGATTTTAATATTAAAAATTTATTTTCATATTCACCTGATTTAAAAGTTAAATTTTACGATATGTATTCATGCAATTTAAAAATTTATGTTGCGATTTGTATTCCTCCCATTTTAATATCAAGTATCACGATTTGTGTTTATACGTTTTTAACATCAATATCGTGATTTGAATTTATATGTTTTTATTCATAATATTACGGTTCATCTTGACGTGAGTTTTTTAAAATCCAATAACGAGATTCAAATTCATTTGTTTTTCAAATCCAACATTGCGATTCATATATATGCATTTGTGATATCTTACATTATGTTAACCTCTAATTTTATTTATCAGAGGAAAAGAAAATTATATCTCGTTTTATTGCACCTGATGCAGTTCATTTTTATCAAAAAGTCATGAATGATTACAAGCGAGTCGATGCAATTGTGGAGTCAGTTAGAAAAGATCCAAAAGTTAGTAGGTTTTCTGATTTTTTTCCTTAATTGTGATAGAAATGTACTTTTTCTATGTATATAGAAATTTTAAGTTTATTTAAAAGAATATGCATGCTGACTTTTTCTTGAATGGAAATTGGGTTGTGATTCAGTAACTTATTTTTGATTTGGTTTTAAATCTTTTAATTATTTAAGCTATTTTTAGTTATGTATTGTATTGTATATGACGGAATTCTGAAAAGAAGTAAAATTTTCAAATTTTTTTAAAATTTTGGTAGCTTATAATTATAAGTTTATAATTATATTCGTCATTACCATAGTTCAGAGGTGGCCAAAGTGGTCTGTATAGACCCCCAGGGGTCTATTTAACAAAAGCGGGGGTCGATCCGAATCGGAAGGGTCGATTGTGCGTCGAAAAAAAAAAGCAGTTCTCAATTCGCAAATCACACATACCTAATTAAGTATGTAAAATTTGCTAATTTTTTTTTATAATTGACTCAATATCAGTTTCTTTATAAAACATAAATTAATAAACGTATATTTATTGGGGTGAAACAAGTAATTACGTACCACNCCGGAAATCAAATTTTCAAAGGGGGAACTTAAAAACACAGTTTGTTTTATTTGTTTGTAAGGGAGAGCCAGAGAGATACCTATAAGCTTATATTAGTGATTAATATTCATTTTTTTTATCAGTGAATAGTTGTTATAATCATAAACTCAAGAAAGAGAGACATATTTGTAAATTTTAATTACTTCTCCAGGTCATCATAGGTGTGTGTAAATGGTATAGATATGTGTAAAATTTTAAATATATTTTAAGTAAACTAAGAAATATTGAGAAAAAGGAAAAAAACTTGTTTTTCTAATTTTTCAATTTAAACTGTTTTTATTTTTTTTAACTCAAGAAATTTTCCAGAATTTTGACTAGGGCTCACAATCACCCCTGCTAATTAAGTATGTAAAATTTGCGAATTTTTTTTTATAATTGACTCAATATCAGTTTCTTTATAAAACATAAATTAATAAACATATATTTATTGGGGTGAAACAAGTAATTACGTACCACCGCCCAGTGGAACAAACTCAGCGCAGTTTATAAGTCATATGCATATGTGCACTTGTCCAAATGTCACGTGTGACGAGCATTGACGTTACAAATGCAAATATCATACGCAGTTTCAGCTATCTTTGCAAACTGTGTTGAATATTTGCAGTGTCATTATTAAAACTTTTATAGTTTTGGATAATTAGTTATTGTTTCGATAAAACCATTCGTTTGGTTTAGATATCAATTTTAATTATCAATGCACAAAAAAGAAGGTAAGCATTAATAATATGGATTAGTACAGCCCGCGACAAAACTATAGCACACTTTGTATTTTTTTACGAAAATTACAAAATTGACCAATTTTGACGAAAATTAAAATTGACCAATTTTGAACCCAATATAGCGAACCTTGCAAAAAAACACCAGGCACACCCATCTCATTGATCAAGAAGCAGTAAACCTTTAGTTACTTTACTTATTATATCTACCTATGCATAATTACTTATTATTTAATAATATGGTATTTAAATTTCAATATTAATATATTTTTCATAAAACTATTGTTACACAATGTACTATTACTTTAATAAATGTTTAAAATCATAAAATATATGTACAAACACAGTATCTAATAGAGTTTTATTTAAATTAACAGAAAATTACTTCTGTGGGGGTCGATGGAGATTTCGACAAATTATATAGGGGTCGATGATCAAAAAAGTTTGGTGACCCCTGCCATAGTTCATAATTATCTTCATATTCTGAATTCCCCAAATTTTTTAGAATTGTATGTTCTATTTTTCTTATGAAAAACTAACTAGAGTTTCTTATTATGAGGTGCTTTGAAATAACTCATGTTGTGATAAATAAATATTAGAAAAAATTAATTATTTTTTCATGCTCTAATTGCTTTAACTGAACTAAAAGTGACTATTAAGTTAAGGACTTGTTACGTTTAAAAGTCGGTTCCATTTTTAATGTTTCAAAATGTCAAATACTACTTCCAACAGTAAAAGTGATGTTTAAAGACACTCAGATATTTAGGTAGAAGAACATGTATGAATCTACTTTGATGTCATGCCATAATGTTTACAAAACTTTTCAATGGCATAAATTGTGTTTATGAAATAATTGTGGCTTTGAAAGTGCAGTGAAATATTGTCTCACAACTATTTAAAATCATTGCTACAAGATGGCATCACTGATCTATTCTAATAAATAAATTTTATCATAACATGCTATAAAGAACTTAATATCTGGAGAAAAATTTAATAATTATGCTTTTAAATCTAATATATGTCTAAATTTCTGACTAAATACAGATATTAATTTAAAATTTGTGTATATTTCTAAACATTTATGTATGTTTCTAAAAATTTATGTAAGTTTCTAAATCTAGACATGATATTACAAAAATTATTACATAAAAAAATGGGCACAAAATATTTTGACAATAAAGATGATTATGAATGTAATAAAATCTCGTGTCTGACAATTTTTATGTTATTCATAACTGTTTTTTTTATTTTTTTATTTAGTTAGGGCATTGTGCTGTTTAACTGGGTGGGTATTGAGAAAAACCAAAGAATTTTAAATTTAACAAGAAAACTAAAAGGTTAAATTCTAAAGAAAAACCTGACAAAAGTAAACTGTAAATATGGCACATGATCTATCAGTGGAAGTACACATTAATAGACGTTGATTAACCCAACAACACTGAAATAAAACAAAAAAAAGCTCATACCTATTATGTAGCTGATAGAGAGAGTAGGTCACATTTTTAAATCTAAGGAGACTAAGAGTCCACTAAAAAAAAGAGTCACTTGTTAGGATGAATAAAGTTCGCTTTATTTCGTATTAGCTCAATGGCGACATAAAAAAAAAAATCACAGGCGGCACATCGGATGGAGAGTGTGGTGGTTAGGAGTGACTGGGAGTTTCGTGGTATCAACTCAGAATGAACACAACACAGGAGTAGATGGGAATTAGATCTTCACCAGAAAACATCAGAGCGGTGTCATGGGTACTGTGCTGGACTTTACCGAAGATAAAAATCATGATTTGTAGCTCTAACTATGACAGCATCTGGTCAGGAGATAAGCTCAAGAGAGATTCAGCAGCATTACCTCATTCAAAAAAAAAACGTGCACATGGTTGTGGCAATCCATAGTCAGTCAAATATTTTTCTTATTGCAATAATATCCAAAAACTATCATATTAACAGGAGATGCGTGATCAAAAATAAAAAAAAATTACTTTGTAGACAAAAATCCAAGCATGACAGAATTAACTTGCCAACATGGCGGCATGTGTGATGCCATACCAAACAGATGTTCCCTTCCTCTAGAAAAAGAGGAGAGAGAAAAAAATTAAAAAGACTAAACCCACAGCGGGGCAAAAATATTTTACATGGACAAAATCTCGAATGCTCTCGAGCATCAGGCGCTCAGCTATTTATACAAAATGCTTAAAGTTAAAGTGAAATTTCCTAACCATTGGAAGTTTAGTTGTCATATCAATTATTTCTTCAGTGTCATTCCCACGTTCTGATGGAACTTGCGGTAGTTATGGTTATGCTTACTCTCACACTCGTAGCCTTCACGTGGACATGAAAGATACCACGGGCCAGGTGTTTTTTTAAGAAAAATGGTAGGGAAAGGAATTTCTGGGGGAGAATGTCCTAATTGCGCTAAGGCATTAAGAGGCGAATATGGATTGGATCAGTATTGTTAAGAAATGGATCAGGATTTAAATTCGATTGTGACTCGATGTCACAGGCATATTTTAAAAGAATATATCATATTCTATTTAAAAATCTACAATAAATTTTATTAACAAAATGCAACCATGAAAAATAGAAATATCTTCACCACGTTACTTTACTTTCATTATTTATGTATACTATTAAAATATTCAGTAACATTTGTATGCTGTGGTAGTATATTTAAATATTTTTATATTTTTAGAACAAGAAATACAGATTTGAGCTTCAGAAAGCCGTTAATACTCCAATAAATTCATTATCATCCAATTCTGGATCACAGATAAAAACTAAAGTTAATAAACTGCTATCTATTTTAACCGGAAAAGCATCAGAGACTAGTGGTCGAAACATGAATGGTGATTCGCCAATCTTCAACTTTTGTGCATACTTAGCTGCAAAACAATTTGTGGTATGTAATTTTTTAAATGAATTTTATTATTATTAGTCTTTTTTAAAATTAATAAATATGTACAGTTTTTTATTATTTTGTAAGTGTGGTGGTCATTTTATTTTCAGTGATGATAAATCTCTTGTAAATAAAGACGGTTCTCTTATTCTTAATTCAAAAAATATATTTATAGCAATGCTCATATTTCAAGTTGATTTATTTAAATTTTTTGATAGTTATTATGAATTAAATCATAGGAATTAAATTTATAAAATAGCGCATCAACCAAAGATCAGTCACAATATTGAATTTGAGACTGATATGTGACAATTTTTAAAATTTGTATTAGTTCATTAGGTTTAATTCATTTATTGATCATAGCTGTTCATTTAAAGCACTGGGATAAAATTTACAAAACTATATTTTAATTTTTGAAAAAATATTAAAATTTGTGCAATTATAGAAGGACTTTTTATTCAAAAAAGGAAGAAAAAAAGCCAGAATTTGTCATAATTCGGTTTAAGCTACAGCATTGCCAGAACTATATTATAAAGATTAAAAAAGAAATCTAAAATTAAATCATATTTAAAAAATTGGGTATAATGCCTGTATGCAACTTTTCCTGTTTATAGTGTTTGAAAAATATAATTTAATAAAAAAATTGAATATCGATTATTTTTTTGATTTTAAAAATTTAAATTTTAAAGAAAAATATTTAAATTAGAAGTTTAAAATGTATTAATTGAATGAAAAATATGAATACTAGTTATCAACCTTTATGTAATAGAAAATTAAAGATAAAACTTAACCGTCCCAGCTAGAATTTGAATCCTGGAGCTCTCTACTAGAAGGTGGGCAGCCTAACCGGTACATCATGAATGCACAGCAACTGGAAATTTTTTATTTGTTTAAAAGTAAATTAACTAAAACTTTAATGGGGCATATTTTGCTCCTAGGGTAGATCTGATGGCTTATTTGTACCCTATCCGATTGTTTCAAACATGCTCTTTATGCTAAGATTAACTTTGTATCTCTAGGAATTTTTGAGATGCATATGTCAGTTGTAAGTTAAAATTTTGTCTGGAAAAAAATACCACATTAAAAGAAAATGGTGATTGTATGAATCTGCAATATCCGTATAGTGACTTTTAACTGTATCGAATTGATTTCTCTAGTATCTTTAAATTAGTTATCGTGGTATTTTACTGTATATGTCATGTAAATTATGTGTAATGTAAGTTTCCTCTGAAAAGTAGTTTTTGCAAATGTTGAATATTTTTTATTACTTATTCTATACATACAAATGTTTTTTGCAGGAACAAGGAGACACTCAGATCTCTTCCCAGCACTCTACTGCATTTCCTATTGCTTTTGCTGCTCTTGGGGTTTGGGTTAAACAGCCTGAGTTTGGTCAACTGCTTCTTGGACATTTTTATGATAAATGTCCGTACTTAGCTCCTTATTATCCTCCTAAGGAAGAAAGTCAATCTGATGAAGAATATTTTCAGTAAGTTAGATCTTAACTTTTCATTAATCAATTGAGCATTTGATATACCCCAAAACGTTCTTTTGTCTGTTGTTTTCATGCGGCGACAAATTAGCAGGAAATCCTAGCTGACTAATACACTTTTTCATAGGTGTGGGTAAGTTTATGAGGATGAAATATGAGCGCATTTCTTCTGGCACGAGATTCAGTGAAATAAATATGTAAAAGCAGAGCCAGATTAAGCGTACGCGGGGCCCTAGGCCATTCAAAATTTTGGGGCCCTTAGATTAAATTTTTTTTCTCATATATTTTTCATTTATTCAATTATAAAAGTATTTAGATATCTTTTCATTTAAGATTCATTCATTTATTTAAATTAAAAATAAACAATAATAAATTAAATTTTAATAAGTAATAAATAAATGTGATTAACATTATATAAAAATTATCGTATTTTATTAATATATATTTGAAATTTATAATAAATTTTTTTTTAATTATTATTTTTCTTAACTTTTTAAATTTTTTTTCAAAAAATCCATTTTAAGGGGGCCTCTAATCATTGGGAGCCCTAGGCCATGGCCTAGTCTTGCCTAATGAGTAATCCGGCAGTGTGTAAAAGTGGTGGTACTAAGAATCAGTACAAAATTGCTAGAATTGTTCAGTGTGTAGTGAAAAAAGCTAAGCAAACACAATTGAAGACTCATCTTTAAATTTACAAAAAATATTTATTAAACAAGAAAATAAATTAAACGGCACATAATTTTCTGGAAAACTGGATTCTCACCACAACATGACACAGCTTTAATCTTTCTATACTCATCTTTTTCCCCCCAAATCTAGTCTTGATCTGTCTTATAATTATTGTCTTTAAATTATATATTGCCAGCTTTCATTTAATCTCTAATTAAAAACATTTGCATAATGAGGGTAAGAAAAATTGTGAAAACTACACTCATAATTGATGTGTAATTTATTTTTAAATGTCCGAAGTAAACTTAGAAATAAAGAAATGAATAGTCTAGAAAAGAAAGAAAAAAAACCTTGTTTTTTCAAAGCATCAATATTTAAACTTTCCCTTCTAAATCGCTTTTGTCTTACTCCCTCTTCCAGCAGTCTTTCAAACTTGCTGTGACTTTTTGCCTTCTTTCTGTGAAAAGCTGAAATAAAATCTATCATTACACTTAACTCTCACTTGGGGCACACCAACTTGTGATGGGGGACTTATAATTGTTATTTGTGAGAGTTTATGTAAAGAGTAATTTCTGTAAGTGGTAGGTGGGGGATGATTTTTTTAACATATAAATTAAAATATTTCTTATATACTGGTGAATATAAAAATAAAACATATGAAATTATAATCAGACCTAACCTTACTACAACCTTGCTCTTTTTTTTAAAAGAAGTTAAATGTGTGTAACTAATTTCCTAATTATTTAAACTTATGAAAGCTTTAGTTTATGTTCTTAATTTTTTTTAAAAATACAGTTAAGTTGGTAATTTAAGAAATCCCATACCCTTGGAGAAGCTTTTTGTCACAAATTCTCTATCTCCTTGGTTACTAATTTAGAAGAAAGGCAATGTGAGTTCAGGCAAACCTTGAGTAAGCTATTAAATTTCAATTGCGGAATTTTTGCTTCTTCTAAATATCAATATGCGGACAAATTATTGGAAGAGAATTTCTCCTTTGTATAATCCTAAGTTATCTTTTCATAATTCATTTTCCTTTTGATATTTTAAATTTTTTTTCAGTATTTGAAACTTTGTGTCTTACTCTAGGTTTGTCTGGACTCAGATTGCCTTTCTTCTAAATTAGTAATGGAGGAGATAAAGAATCTGTACTTTAAATTTTAAATTAGTTATAGTGGTGAAAGATAGTTTGTGACAAAAAGTTTCTCCTATTGAATGGCATCCTTTTAAGCAGATTATATAAATTTTTTCTCTCTCTTAAATAACTATGATTTTATCCAGTTATTGTATTGTTCAATTCTATATTGGGTTTGTCTTGGATGGTTATTAAAACGTTTTTAAAGAAATAGTCTATTATAGTTAATTATTTAAAAAAGGTTTCTTTGATTCCCTGTTGTAATGATTATTTTTATCATTAGATTATATTTATAAAAATTTGGTTATTATATAATATTTTTATTTTTTTTATCATTGCTTGAAGGTGTATTTAGCCAATGTAATGTTTTTTTTTTTTTTTTTTTTTTTTTTTTTTTTTTTTTTTTTTATNTTTTTTTTTTTTTTTTTTGTGAGTAAAATGTTTTATAGATATTTTTAAGTTTTAATTAATGATAAATCATCTAACTGCAAAAGCTTCAAAGGACTTTAAATATTTTTTTAAATTCCCCCTCTTCTTGCATGTGAATTATCGGTATGATTAGTTATCGATATCCTGAACAGTGTCCTTAAACTATTCAGATTGCAATTTAAAGTATAATAATGCATTATTGCATCAAAAGTCCTTCAAAAAATTCTCATTTATTTCTCTTAAAACTTTCTTAATTTTTTATTTAAAAAAATATCTTCTCTCACGTTTGTAATTTTTTTTTCAAGGTTTAGTCACCATAAAATCTCTTAACATGAATCTTTTTAATGATGTCAAGAACACTTTATGTAAAAAAATTATTATGATTAAAACAGTTTATTTGCTTTAATGCAATTGATTGTTTCATTTTTATGAAATTATGTTGTTATTTTCTTTACTTATGTTTCATTTATAATTTTTTAAAATATTAATTCACCTAGTTTGAAATCTTATGAAAAATATTTAGATTTTCATATGACATTTTAATGCAAATGCATATTTATTACCCTATTTTAATACTGGTTTATTATTTATTAAATTAATTTATATTAAACAGGTTGTTTTATTAATTGAAGCGGTCAATATTAAAAGGGGATATGTTACAAATCTGCACTTTAAAAAAATGTGTCAATTGTGAAAAGACTGTTTTAATTGCTTTCAAATTGTTGGATTGTTTTCTTTAGGCAGTCAAGAAAATTACTCAGTATTTGATAATTGGTGATTGGTATTCCAAAAACAACAAAAGACTTATTTTCATATAAATGTTACATACCCCTTTTTAACATTGAACGCTTTAATTTTAAATATATAAACAGATTTTTAAAAACAACTCACAGGCTATTTGTACATGTGCCTTACATATTAAGTGTGTTATTTCATATATTATAGATCTTTGGGATACAGACTAGACGAGGAGGATAAAATTGAACCCAAATACAAATTTCTCCATCGAATCAGTGGTTATGTGAGATTGTACGCTGCAATTATACAATCACCCCTTCCCCCAGGTGTTAGCTCCCCTCATCCTCATGGCATTGAATGGGGTTGGAAATGGTTGTCTCGGATGTTGAACTTGGAACCCAGGCCAGACATAACACCCACAGTTCTATTTGACTTTCTTGATGTTGCGGGTTATGCTTTGCAAAAAGCATACGGAAAGCAGTTTAACAAAATGTTACATATTTTATGTAAGGACTATTTTCAAAAGATAAAGCAAGTGACACCTGGTGGTTCTGGTGGTCCGCTGGAACGACTTGAAATATTTTTACAACAGTGTGCAAAGAAGGGACGCATTTCTCCTCCGGAAGGTATACTGTCAGCAAATTTCTGGAGCAGATAATATATGGAAAATAGTGTAAATAATAATTTTTAGCTGAATCATTATTCCCTTAGAAATTCCTAACTATCATGATTGTACAATACTGTGAAACATAAACATGTGTGAGTTATTGCATTATTTTTGGGAAATAATGAAATAAGTTAAGGGTACCATAGAGTCAAATTCTGATTTTCCGTCTCTCGTATTACCGTGTAGAGCATTATACAAATACCTATTTCCTACTTATTAACTCACTAGTTTTTTTAGATTTTTTTGTTTCATTTTATTTAATATGTATTTTATTGAAATTGATTTACAAATTTTGATTTCTGAAACTACCATAGTAGTTTAGTAGAAAGTTAAACAATGGCTTATACCTTAAGTCTTTAAATTTGGTAATGCATGTTAATAAAAAAAATAAAAATATAAAAAATCTAAAATTATATTTAAAGACATAATAGTATTCATATAATTCCCTATTCGTTAACATGGGAGGTGAGGGAATTTAAAGCAGAATTCAAGATATTCTTAATCAATGCAGTTTTAGAAAGTGTACTAAGTTGAAATTATTTATCATCATTTTACAACAATTTTGTCTATTGAGTTTTTAAGAAAGTTATAAAAATGAAGACAATTTACTTATAAAGAATGAATATTTTATTGAATCATATGATATCCATTCTGGTGCTATTCCTTTCACCATCCTTATAGCAGTAGCACAATTCCATGTGCATTTTGCTGTCAAAAAACTGATCCGTGTGATTTTTGACCTTCTTATTTGAGGAAAAGGTTTTACTATCTAAACAATTTTGTTGAGATCAGAATGTTGTTACAGACAACCCCTTTCTTGTCTGCAGTGATGAGGTGCTTCAAATATAGATAACTTTCTTTGTATTTGAGAAACAAACCTTAAAAATCTTAGGTTTTTCAAATGATCATGAACAGTCAAATTTGATAAATTTAATGTGTCAATGATCTCACAAATTGTGATTTGCTGGTTGCATATTCCAAACAATGCTTTTATTGAGTCCCCATCTGCTTAAACTGGCATGGTGCATCATAAACAAAATTTTACCAATTTACCAGTTTTAGCACTAACATACTGCCAATACATAATGTATTTTTCAAAAGCAAATCTTGCTATATCAGCTGACAAAATGTGTGATGACTGTGAAAGATATAATTAAATCCTTTGTTGGCTAAAAAACGAAATTTCTTTCCAAACAACTCAATATATTTCTCACTTTTTTGAAGTGTCCTTTTTTGATTGGTGTCATGCGACTAAATAAAAAAGTACAAAAATTGTTGGCACTACATACTGCCAATACATAATGTATTTTTCAAAAGCAAACCTTGCTATATCAGCTGACAAAATATGTGATGGGTGTGAAAAATATAATTAAGTCCTTCGTTGGCAAAAGAATAAAGATACTTTCCAAACAACTCAATGTATTTCTCACTTTTTTAAAGTGTCCATTGATTGGTGTCCTGCGACTAAACAAACAAGTACAAAAATTGTAACCAATCATTTGTCTAGTATTGTTTATGGTAAAATTGCCTTATAAGTATTTGAATAAAAAATAAGATCATAATAACTGTCTTCATTTTTGCAATTTGGCTTTATTTCATTTTAAAACAAAGTTCATGGTTCATTATAATCAAGTCTAGTTTTTTCTCAAAAAAACTGATTTTACTGATGTTTAAGAAAAGCTATGGAATCAAAGAGTTTAAAATATTTGCTTTACACTGAGTGAGGATAACTAAGTTGAGTCCTATAAATTAAAAAAATAAGTATATAATTTTTTGAAAGCTACTTTAACAAATATGTCAAAAATTAGTCTAATTAAGAAAGATAACAACTATAGTGCTCATATTAAGTTTACTTTCCAATTATTATTTGATTTCTTATGAAGTTTTCTTTTTAGTGTCAATATTTATAGAACTAATTTTTTTAAAAATACATACTAGTAAATAATGAATGTTTAAGACACTTCTAATATGTAATACAATTGCAACTGGTTTTCAAAAAATTTCATCTTGAAACACATTCATGGATTATATGATAGTTATAACTACAATGATTTGCTAATATTAAGAAAATAAATGTTTTTTACTTTGCTTTACAAATATTGTTAAGTTTTACTTGATTTAGTTATAATATTTGCAAATAAATTAATCTTTTAATTCGTTTATTTTAAAACTATATCATTTGTATCATCAAACACTAACTATGTATTAAAAATTATCTATACATGTCTTTTAAAAGTTTATTAAAGTAATTGGTATATTGTTAGATGTATTTATGTTTATGTGGTGTTGATATCTTTTCCAGGATTTTTTTTTTGAGTAATTCGAATAAAAAAATATTTATTAAAATTTATTTCTTCAAACTTTGTAATATAAAAATTTGTATTGCGTAAAATATAACATTCAATACCAATGGTGCAAAAACAATATAGAAATACAAATGTTGAAATAAATGTTAAAATAATAAAAAAACTTGATAATGGAATACTTTTCAAAGATTTAGTTTGAAAAGTATTATACAGTTTAAGCAATTTAAAGTAATTATCTTTAGAAAAATTTTATTTTTAGAAATGTCTGGAATCAGAGTCAAGCAATTTAACTACTGGTTCAACAATCTTTGTTTTAAGACTGTCTTGCAGTCTATAATAAAGCAAACTTTATCTATGGACTTTGTTATACATTTTTCATTGGAACTTTTGTGTTCTTTTTGAAAGTAAATGAAATTTTTGAAAAGAAATATTGAAATATCTTTTTTTAAATATCATAAAACTAGTTTTGTGTATTATTTAAAAAAAAAATATTCTTGAAGCGTAGAAAATCTACTCATATGACTGGGACTTAAATCTACTTTAGGCCGGTTGTACATTTAGGAAGCGAGAGGGAGGTGAAAAACCTCCAGTTTGACTCTCGTCTCTCCACCAAAGGGTTTTCAGAGGGTATTCTGAAAAAGGACTGCACATTGAGGAAGTGTAATCGCCTCCTCAATGAAGGCGTAGATTCCACAGGTATTTGTCTGAACTGGCGTCAAAAGGATATATATATATGTATATAACTAGCGAGATAGAACATATTAACATAGTCTAAATTAACTGGAAAAAAGGGGGTTTTTTTCTTCATTTTCAGATGATGAAAAGCTATTTTAATTAATTAAATTAAAATGTTTAAAAAAAATTCTGAGCATTTTTAAGAAGAAAATAACTTTTAAAAATGTGAAAATAAAAAACTTTTTTTTTATTTTTAAAAAAAAGGTTTATTTATTCTTTTAAGAACAATTTTGGGTTCACAGAATTGTTCTTCAAAATTTGTATTCAATGTAATTTAATTTACTATGAAAATTGCACATTATAATTAGCAATACTAGTAATTGAAAAGTCTTCATAGATATTAATCACCAAATACTATAAATTAAAATTTTTTTATCAAAATTCATTAAAAAATAACTTTTAAAATTGAAAAAAAAATGAGAACTAAAAAAGAGCTTCTTTTTTATAATGCGATTCATCAACTTTGAAAATTAATTTTTGATAGCATAATTTTTGCCTCTAATATTAATTAAGGACAATTTTGTGCACTTAAAATTGTTCTACTGAGCATTTCTTAAAGCTTTTATTAAGTATGCTACGAATTTATTTTTATTTGCGAAATAATATTTATTTTTTTAAATTATATGAAATAAATTCCTTGTATGACTTTATTGTAAGTAACTTCTAGAACAATAGTCTCTAGAATATTATCCAAGAGAAAATTATCAAGAATTTTACATCTCTAATTAAATTATTTCATGTAGAGAAAAATAAATATTTCCATTAACGGATTTTGTTCAAGACTTATGTGAAACTATTATTAATTTATTATTTGATTAACACAGTAGATGAAATTTTTTTGCACATAACCTCAAAAAAAGAAAGAAGAAAATAGAAAGTACATACTAGGTCTTTTTACGTCTTTTTAGAAAATAGAAAGTACATACACAGGGTTCCCACGGTCCTTGAGAGTCCTTGAATTTTTTTTTGCTAAATTTAGGTCCTTGAAGGTGCTTGAAAAACGTCTTAGGTCCTTGAAAAACTTGATAGGTCCTTGAATTTGTCCAATACTGCTGGCGGCCCTTTTTATAAAACACCCGCGGATCTTTCTCGTTCTTTCTGTTTTGTTCCCGAACTCTCTCACCTGGTTTTTAACGCCACCGTTTCTAACCGGGCCTAGCGTCTTGGTGTCTGCCAAGCACGCGGAGCACAGCAGACAATCAATGCGTTCGGGGAGAGACTCCACTTCATCTTCTGTCACATATGCTTAGATCNATTAAAGGATTTCACCATTAACACCTCATTACCATTAGTTATAGATTGTGCTGAAAATGATTTTGTGAATTAATATGTAAAACCAGTAGGGTTGTTTTTAAAAAAATATAAATTTTAGTCCATAATACATATACTCTCTTCTCTCTATATAGGCAAAGCATTTAGGTATTATATTTGAAATTAATTATTGCCACAACAAGCATTGTTGCTTCTAGTAAAATAGAAGAGAATAATTTTTAAAATTGGTCTTAGATTAAGGTCCTTGAAAATTTTGTTGAGGTCCTTGAAAAGTCCTGGAAAGTCCTTGAATTTCAATCTCATCATAGAGTGGGAACCCTGATACAGAACTAGTACAGATCCTATTAAAACATTAAATTCTCAGTGAAAATAATTAAATTAATTTATTCATAAGAAATATTGTTTATTACATTTATATTCATAACATTACATTCATAACTAATATTGCTAATTCAATTCAGGATCGTTCCTCATTTTGAGCGAAAGAAAATCTCGTGCGAAGAGGAGGCAAGTTTTTCGGGAGGCGAAAATAGCGTCGAACCTATTTGAGAGGATTGTAGGAGCTGTTAGCCTCCTGGAGGGAAAAAACTTTTCACTCCCTCAATGTGCGCTTGCTAGTGGAGACCTATGGGAGACAAATTTACCCCACCTTCTGTATTCTTCTCGCTTCCCGCTTGCCTCCTCAGTGTGCGGCTGGTCTTACGGGGCAAGACAAGTTTAAATCCTCTTGAGACCAAATTTTTATTATCAGGTTCTGCATTTAAATGTTTATTTTTAAATGATTGACTTGTTAATTTATCATTAAGCTATTTCAAGAAAAATTTCATGTAAATTAAATTACTTGTGTTTAAATTTGTTCAATAAAATTTACCTTTTGAACAGGTGTTAAACGAATTTTTTAATTATTTAATCACTTTCGAATTCTGCTAAAATGTAATTTTTGTAAATATAGTTTGATTTAAAAAAAAATTAACAAAAAATAATTAACATTTGGCTATTTCTAATGAAATAATAAAGTATTCATTTCAAAATACTGCTGACTAAGAGACTTTTTGCGTTATCTGACATATTTTATTTTTAATAAGCATGCAGAAACTAATTAAGGAAGCAAAATTTTTCTGACAGATATAAGGTGAAATTTCATTGTATTTTGCCCTTGAAAATTACAAATTAGAAAGGAACACTATATTTGAAATTCTTCATGAATTACAAAAAAGTTTGCAGCTTTTTTTAGAAAGATTTCTATGAATTCTTTTGTATTATAAATTTTATTACAGTAACTCATAAAATAAATAAACAATTGAAAGATTGTTTCATAATATACAGTAATTTAATTAATATTTATGCTTATATGTAAGCTTTAATTTAATTTGATCTATATGCAAATCGGTGAATCATATTTTCAAAACATTGAATCCTTTCCTACTCGATTTCCTATCAATTTGAATTGCTGTATTTTTTCTAAAGTTAAATGTAAAACTTATAACAATATATAATATAGTTGTCATAATACGATGTTTTGATTTTTTTTAAAATTCCTATTGATGATGTTTTCTATATATTTTTTATTTATTTCCTATTAACATGCATACTAAATGTTTTTAATACTGAAAAAATTTGGGAAATAAATCAGTTTTTGGGGAGTGATTTTGATAGTTGACAAAACATGGGACTTTTGTTAGTTTTTAGTATTGAATCACATTGCTCTTAAGCACCACATTAATAATTTATATTTTATTATTTATCCCCTGAACTCATTTGCTACTTGGGCGAATTTGTTCATTGAATAACACTTAGGAAATTTTCTCTGTTGAATAACTCTTGGGGGAGCTGATTTTCATTTCTGTGCAACAAAGCAAATATATTGCACCTCAAATTGAATTCAGTCTAGATAGGTAAAGGGTTAGGAAATGCTCTAGAATTATAAATAATATTTTTTTATTATTTATTTAGTATGAAAATGCTATTTCATGCTTCTGACCTTTTTATATGTTTATAAAATTTTAATTTGTGAAGGAATTGTAATTTTTAAAAAATAATGTACAATATTTAGCTTATAATTAAGGATCTTCAACGTATGTCACACAGGCCACTGAAATGATTTGTAATGAAAGTAATATTTGTTTTGAAATTTTTTTTCTTCATACTATGGTAATGATCATATTTTGTATATAATATAATCATATTTTGTCTGTTGAAAGATAATAACAAAAATGGTTAGAATAGAGTCCACTTAAATTTTGTCTCTA